GTTTGTTCATGAGAAATGACAAGGCAGAGATGGGTCTCCCAGAATAAAACTCTGGGAAAATCTACTTACCGCCAGGCAGTAATCTAAGATATAAACTAGTAGGCAAATATTTTAGAAATGGTGTAACATTTTATTCCTTATCAATTGTGACTTGAAATATTCTTCTGATTTCATAAATAAATTTTGTCTTCAAATAACTTTTTCCACATATTTCTAGGATGTTTTATCTGTATCACATGGCACCATTTTTATCATTTAAAGTGTACAACTTGATGATTTGATATATGTATACATTCTGAAATAATCACCACAATCAAGCTAATTAACACATCCATCACCTCACATAGTTACCATTTGTGTGTGTGTGTATATGTGGTTAACATTATTCTCTTACAAATTTCAAATACATGGTACAGTATTGTGACCCATAGTCACCATGCTATACATTAGACTTAGAGAATTTATTCATCTTCAAATTTTGTACCCCTTGACTAACATCTCCCCATATCCCCCTCCTCCTAGCCCCTGGTAATCTCCATTCTACTCTCTGCTTCTGTGAGTTTGTCTGTTTTAGATTCCACATATGAGTGAGATCATACAGTATTTGTCTTTCTGTGTCTGATTTACTTCAGTTAGCATTTCTTTTTATACAGGATCAGTGTGATAATATTTGAAGGGGGGCCAGTGGCAAGAAATTTTGTGAAGAGATCTGGGAACAATGAACAGTTGGATTCCACATGGCTTCCTTATTTGCACATACCTCTAACTTGAATTTGCATATGTTACCATTCTGTGAGGCCCTGAACTTTTCAAACTCTAGACCTTGAGCTGGAAAAGTTGCAAAAGAATATAAAGAAAGTAACTGATTATTAATTCTATTTTCTGAATTCCAGACAGAGTCACTGGCCACATGGCAGTTTCAGAAATTAGATCAAAACTTAAGCTGAATCCTCTAACAAAAGTACCCATCTCCCATGGCAAGAGGTAGGTAATGAATGCACTAAAGTGGTAAATATATTATAATAAAGAATTATTAAGGTGACGAATATATTAA